AATATTCATCAATTTGTCTATTAATTTTTGTTTAAAGATAGAAAAATATGGAAAATCAAGAATGTATTGAGAATGCATTAAGGCCCGGATGGACTGTCTAGAAAAGATAATTTACTCCAAAATTGGGACTTCTAATTACTCCGTCAATTAATCGTTTTTTCCGATAATTGTTAGCTAGCGGTCTAGTTGTTGACAACCGCTAGAACGCCAGCTAACAATTATTGAAAAAAAAAACGATTAATTGCCAAAGTAATTAGGAATCCGAATCCGGAGTAAATGATCTTTTCTAGATGATCCACCTGAGCCTTAATAAATATTCATCAATTTGTCTATTAATTTTTGTTTAAAGATTAAACATATGGAAAATATGGAAAAGAATGTATTGAGAATACATTAATTTTTAATATGCTATATTACCCCATCCCCTATTTTCTATGTACATCATACCCATGTATTCAAAAACCAAATAAATATCTCGATCGTTGTTGGCCTTATGTAAACCGATGAGTTGAATGATATTCTCGTGATTGGAGAAAGACATGAGGAACATGATCTCCCGGAACGTTCGCTGGGCATCAGTTTGATTCCTGAAGGCATCGAAGATCTTCTTCACAGCTACGGTCTCCTTGGATCGTTTATCCACCGCCTTCCACACGATTCCATATGCCTAGGATAATCGATTGAAAAATAATACTGAGAAGACCGTGGAAAAATAGTACATGGCCGTCAGAATTTGAATATTTATTTCAGATCAATAGAATCCATCAAAGTTTATGTGTGGCAATCGAGTCACCGGGAATAAACAACACCAGACGCTTGGTACCATTGTTTTATCTATATCTCCAGGCACGTTTTTATAAAATACAAATACAGTTATCTGTGTGAATAAATGTTCCCTCTAACAGGGAAAAAACACATTTTTCATTTTTATTATCAGCACATGCCCGCAATCGCTTTCATTATTTCTATTTCTATTTTTCCATTGCGAATTGATAAGGAATTCATTCAAATTCAGTCAAGTGATTACAGCATGTGAAATTATCACAGGTACATGATGATTAGATTTCAAATGATTTGAGATGATTTCGAGTAATTTCGGATAATTTTAAATAATTTTAAATCATTTTAAGGCCCGGATGGACTGTCCGGAAAAGATAATTTACTCCAAAATTGGGACTTCTAATTACTCCGTCGATTAATCGTTTTTTCCGATAATTGTTAGCAGGCGGCTTAGTTGTTGACAACCGCTAGAACGCTAGCTAACAATTATTGAAAAAAACGATTAATTGCCAAAGTAATTAGGAATCCGAATTTCGGAGTAAATTATCTTTTCTAGATAATCCACCCGAGCCTTAAATAATTTCTTTCAAATAATTTCTAATAATTTTAAATCATTTAAAATAATTTCTTTCAAATAATTTTCATGACTTCAACGATTTCATGTGACAGTAATCTATAAATTACAGATATGATTTCGCGAATGAACAGCACCTCAGCCACGTGTAATGAAAATTCTAATTAAAACGTTAATCAGACCAAGAGAAATTACAAGGTCAATTACTCCGTCAATTGCCGGTAACTTTAATAGCAACAATAGCTAAATTACCGTACATTGACTAATTGATGTGGATCATCACGTGGTCATCAATCCGATGGGACAGGTGGAGTTCAATAACAGTCTATCGACTAAACTCTGTGATAAGTACAATCAATTTACCCCTTTTCCAAGCCGACGAATGATATTGTACTGCTTGGTGACATGATTATCAATTTCCGCCAATTTCTCCCCATTGCTCTTCCCGGACATATTTTTTTATGCTGGGTATTCTGGGCTACAGCATGAATCCACACAATATGTATTTTTGTTTTTCGTTTGCAATGAGATAAAATTGAAGTGCGCACGAGAATTTAACAGCACGAGATGAAGGAGCGCACACTCTACACGGCACATTCACATATCTCGTATACATCCGAATGGTTTGAAATGAATAAAAAACCACCTTGCTTCCCTCAACATTTGACAGATCGGTATATCGTGTTTATGGAGGTGTAAGGGTGGTTGCTTGGTGACCACAATCGACAACATTCAAATTACAAAGTCACGGGGCGTCACTCGTACTTTTTTAAAAAAAGTTCATTTACTTGATAGAAGTATCTATTTTAATATAAAAAAAAATATAGATATTCCTCCAGCTGATGACGACTCGTATATATCTCCTAAAAAAAAATTGGTATTTCAAAAAAATAAATAATAATCAGTGAAATGATATTGAGACCTATTAAAAATCGTTCCATTCTCAATTTTTAACATTCTCTATATGTTTATAGAAGGATAAATGGGTAAATGGAGTACTTAGTAATTAGGGTAATTAGTTGATTGATGGAGTGTCGAATGGGATATTATAAAAATAAAATATTGTAATAATGTGCATGAGAAACAACGTCACATTTTTGTACATATTTTATTGAAATTTCTCACAATATTCTTATAATAATCCCATTACCAAAATAAACCTCTTTCATTTTCCAACATCGAAACTCGGTTTCGGCTCATAATCAGGTGATCTGAGGTGTGGAATAATAAACTAAAAATGCTTCATGGTCCCGAGGGCATCAAAGAAAAAATTCAAGAGTCCACTCTAGGTGGAAATAAGAAAATGATACTAACGTACGATAAAGTATAAGAATGACACTTGGAAAACAATTTTACATTCCTCTGCACCTCGAGTACTTGATATCGTTGATAGCATGTACTCGATGATTCAGTCTATTGAATCATTAACTTTATCGGTCTTTATGGAAGTCTGAGGTTGTCGATGCATTTTTGTCGTTCTGTTTTTCTTGTCGTTTTGATTTTTTCTTTCAGAAAATTAAAGGCAAATCGACGAAGCCTCGGACGATCGAGTGGGAATCTCTACTTCCTGGGCTGTTGGATGTGGATGGGCCTCGAAGTGTGCATGGGACGATCGTCATGAGTTGGAATCGGTTTTTCATGGAAATGTTGTACAGCCTCGGGAGGAAAGTCAGCGTGACCCCTGGATGGTACTCCACTGATCATCACAGTCTTTGGAGGACTGAAAAAAAAACAGAATTCCGGAAAATCCCAAGACTATTACAAAGTGCTAAACGACATTTTTTCCAGTTATCAGCTAATATCTCGGAATTAAAAAAAGATAGAGCTATTTTCATAGATACCTTTTTTGCAGCTCTCATTTTTTTCTACAAATAATACTTTTACAAAAATATCGCCATCTCCCATCAATTCCAAGATATCTGGCTCAAAGCAAGTGAATAAAGGAGAAACACGTCGAAACCACTTTTTTCTAATTCTTCCTGTCCATCAATATATCTCAAAAACCGGGTATTTAATTACAAAACACTAAAGGACTTTTTTGTAGCTGATTAAATTTCAGATGGAAAAGGTCTCCGACATTTTCTTCTAAAATCGATAATTCTCTGAATAGATCGCAATAATAAAAATGAAAAATTCGTCAAATCGCAAAAAGTTGAGCTGAATAAAAAAATGAAAAGTATTTATCACCTTCCCAATGGCTTGCTATCCTCGCTGTCCTTGCTGGGCTTCACCTCGCGATCCTCTTTGGGTGTCTTATGTTGGGTTATTCTCATTCCTCCAGCCTTAACTAAATCCAAAATCCCCGGGTTGTCATTCATTAATAAAATCCACAAATTCTAACGAAACAACAATAAATTACAAACCTGCTGGTGGATGGCCGGCCTTGAGCTTGCACTCCTCGAAACTCGACATTTTTTCAACGATGAAGCCAACAACAATATGGTAAGATCAACAGATATTATTGGCAATGACGCAGTGCAAAGTGAATACGTTGTATCATAACAGCTGCCAATTGCCTTCGGTGTCTCATCCAACGAAAACACGACGAAAAAAAAATAAAATACTGCGGCACTCTGGCTTATCGATCGATTGTGTATACTTCCATCTCCAGTTAATTCAAGTCACGTGGTCCTTACGTCGTGTCACTTCCGCTTGTCTCAATCGAAATCCTCAAACTGTACACAAAATCGTGGCATCGGCATATTGGCTCTGACGTGGGGTTAAGTTATTAAAAATGAAAAAATACGGTGCAAGTTTTATCGGTTTTCTCTGCATTTTCGCAGTAGCCAATGCCGGTGGACCCACCCTAGTGCTCCTGGACAATCTCGCCATCAAGGAATCCCACTCGATCTTCTTCAAATGGCTGCAAGGTACTTAAATTCGTGCTAAATGTCCTGTAAAAAACCTTAACCTCCAGGTAATTCTCTGATTATTATGAACGAGGGATGCATTTCAGATCGGGATTTCAGCCTGACCTTCAGACTAGCTGACGACGCCAACCTGGTGCTCTCAAAATACGGAGAATTCTTGTACAAACACCTGATAATCTTCGCTCCATCAGTAGAAGAGTTTGGTGGAGCTCTGAACATCGATGCTGTGACAGATTTCATTGATGGAGGTGGCAATGTCCTGGTGGCTGGATCATCCCACTCAGGAGATGTTTTACGTGAACTAGCCTCTGAAAATGGTTTTGAAGTCGACGAGGAAGGGGCAACTGTCATCGATCATCTGAATTACGACGTCAGTGACAGTGGACATCATACGACGATTGTTGCTGATCCTGAGAACCTCATCAATGCTCCAGTGATTGTTGGAAGTAAGGATGTGTCACCGTTGCTCTACGAGGGCACTGGACTCATTGCCGACCCGGAGAATCCTCTGGTGCTCCGTTTACTCACAGCATCGAGTTCGGCCTATTCTTATAATTCTGATCAGCCAGTCAAGGAGTATCCTCACGCTGTTGGCAAGAATACTCTCCTGATTGCTGCTCTGCAGGCGAGGAACAATGCTCGTGTACTCTTCTCTGGATCTCTTTATTTCTTCAGCGATGAGGCATTCACCAGTTCTGTTCAAAAGGCCCAAGGCAAGTTTAATCAGATTCAGTACTTTATGATAATTTGAAATATGTTTGATGTTAATAAGATTTTTCTGCTCTCAGGAGGTAAAAAATGGGAGAAATCGGGAAACGAAGTTGTTGCAAAGGCGATGACACAGTGGGTATTCAAGGAGAACGGAGTTATTCGAGTTTCCTCAGTGAATCACCGCAGGATTGGCGAGGACAAGCCCCCGGCAGCCTACACCATCATGGAGGACGTCATCTACTCCATCACAGTGGAAAAACTCTCCGGTGACAAGTGGATACCATACGAGGCCAATGACTTGCAACTGGAGTTTGTCCGCATCGATCCCTTCGTCAGAATGACAATGACACCCTCGGGGTATGGAAAATATGAGGCGCGATTCAAAATCCCTGATGTCTACGGGGTTTATCAGTTCAAAGTCGATTACAAGAGAATTGGACTCACACATTTGTACAGTACAACTCAAGTCTCTGTACGACCACTCCAGCACACGCAGTACGAGAGATTTATTCCAAGTGCTTATCCGTATTATGCCAGTGCGTTCTCCATGATGGGAGGTGTTTTCCTATTTTCTCTGGTGTTCCTGCACTACAGGGATCCCACGAAATCCAAAGCTGAGTAATTTTGAAATAATTGAAGATTTCATCACATCCTATCTTTAAGTACTAGATACATCGTGATACAGTTGTAATAATGCGTTGGAAATAATTCATCTGAAACGTCAGTTGTTTTTAATCTTTTTGCATAAACAGGTATTTGTAAATAATGGTTTTGATATTTCTGTTATCAATCAACTCCTCTCCCATTATAATCAACTAGATAATGCAGTGGGGATTTATGCAAATTTTAATATTAACTCTCTGTAATTGAAGTTTGTACAGACATCAATATTGTTGCTGGATCCAGCGATACTGAGGATCTTGTGGGGTGTCTCGTGATAGATAATACTGTACACTGTGTTGCTTGATGTAGGGACTTTGGCGAGGGTTTCTGCTTGATAACTGAGATGATACACGTGGGGCATTGCACCTCCCGTGATTATTCGTTCTTCGTAGATCGAGGCTACGTGGATCCCTTGGTCTGGAAGCTCGAAAATTGTTGCTGGCTCCATCGTGCGAAGGTGCCACAGGGATAAATGAGGGCCTCCTCCACATACCTGGGAAGAATTGTATTCAATAATAATAGGGCTGCGCAGGCTAATATGATCCCCTTTTATTTAAATTGCTGTATTAATTTTGATTTTTTATTTTTGGAAAATCAAATCTGAAATACGTAATTTATCTCTATTTATGTTTGTTTAAACATTGAAAATTGTGGAGAATTAAGAATGCAATCGTTTTTAATGGGCATTTCCTGTAATTTAACAGGATTTAATACATATTTTACTTACAAGCCAATCTTCTGTGAAATCCACTGCTCCCACCCATTTTCCCAGCCTCGGTCTTGCCACTTTGTCCACTAAATGGGGCTGGATAACATTTGTATTCTCGTTTTTACGTACATCCCAGAGTTTCACTGAACCATCTTCACTCGTTGATGCCAGTTGATTGTTCCTGGAAATCGATTCCCTTATAATTCTTCTCTCAAAAATTGTATAGTGTCATTTAATGAAGAAATTAGAGGCTCACAGTAAAGCTAGATTATGAATATAATCCGTATGGCCTTCGAATTTCCTCAGCACCTTCCCATGTTCCAGATCCACAGCATAAATTCTGTTATCCCCCAGGCCTGCATAGACAACATGATCCGTAGTGGAATAAACTAAATCGTTAACATCAGGTTTCTCCGAAGTGTCTCTGAAACAATAAACCCAGGATTAGCTCAATATTCCTTTTGCAAGGCAGGCGTAATGTTTTATTTTTTTTAATTACCTGTCCACTGGCATTTGAATGGTCCACGATACCTTGCTTTTAGGCGCTTTGTCTGAAGTCAAAACCTTCCAATCCCACCCAGAAATCTCACCAGCAGTTCCTGTCACTAAAAAATTCTCTGTTGTCAACATACTCTCGATATGCTGATCAACATGTGCTGAGAATTTATGCAGCGGTCCTGGCAAATCATTGTCGTTCTCCTTACTGGGCCCCAGTATCCTCGGAATACTTGAAAAAAAAACAATTGAATTATTTTTTTATTGATAACAATTGGAGAAGACTGGATGAATTACAAACACTCACTCGAATACCGATATATCTCCATAAATATTGCTGCATATCAAAAATTTACCGCTGGGTGAAAATGTTTGAGATAATACTGTGTTATAAAACAGTTTTTGTTTATCAATATCTTCAGTCATATTTTTTAATTTACAATGAGAGTTGCCGGGTTCACGATTTGATTGAGAGGGTTGAGAATGTAAATAAGCAATAAACAGAGAGTCATGAATTCAGCAGATTGCACGAATCTAGTGATCTTCAGGTAGCCAGCAGCCATTTTCCCTCGATTCAATATTCCCTAGGGTGTCAGCCAATTGCAACTCAACGTTTCCCCCTAGATCAGTTTGAATTCGAAGCTGCAGCAGCCGTTAGCATTTCAGAAAAACGTTCACCACCAAACACTGAGCATCATATATCAGCTGCACGGAAACTCGATCAGTTTCAATCGTTATTTCTGAACAGGAGTTTTAAATAAGATACAATACGTAAATTGAGGGATTGAGAGTGACAAAAAAGGTGCTGATTGAATTATTCTATATTCGTAAGCCTCTGAACAATTGACTTCTGACACCAGATGACACAGAGAATCAAGTGGGTACGTCAGAGGTACGTTCATCAGGTACGTTGAAACAATTCGATATCATTCAAATGATTATTAATTAATAAATACTGATGAGAGATTAATTTTTACTGTATTATTGTCATTTACAGTGTTCGTCGTTCAACAGGTCACTGCTGTTTATAATCCTGTGTTGATAATTGAGACGCCATCGTAGATGTTTGGAATAATAATTTGAAGACAGTTGAAGGAATTAAAGAGACCAGGAATTTCCGTGAGCCCTTTCAGCAGCCAAATCAGCAAGATGTATCAAAACTTGAAATTCGATTCTCCCTACGCAGCAAATGCCCCCATGTGGTCAGATTTCAGCTCCAGTCCTAACATATCAACAGAATATTTTGAGGTGCTTCATCCAGAGAATGAGACCCCATTCCTCGAGGTACCCGAGAAAATGCGCCTGAACAGATCTGATTTCGACAACTCCCCAGTTTTTAACACTCAAAATGGACTCCTGGCTCCAGGATCATCTCAAGTAACCTCGACCTTCACGGACGCCATCGACACGATAAACATGACGCCTGTCAGGGTAGTTTCTCCAAATGGTAAAAATTTCAAAGTTGTCAAAGAAACAACCGTCAATGAGGTTTTGATGGAAGTGATGGCGATTGCTTCATCGGCCTCAAAACCAAAACGTAAACCTGTGAATTTGAACAAAACACAGGGGGCACTCGGTAATTCACAGAAGACCCCAGCAAAATCGAGACCAGTCACTCGTTCTATGCACCTTGCAGAGGGTATTAAGTCAGCCACTCCATCAACCAAATCCCTGGCACTCAATACTCGTCGAAGTGTCGCCCCTCAGAAATTGGCTACCCCAGCAAAAGCTGTTGACACTACTGATTCGTCTGCTACAAACGACGCTGGAGTTCCCATCTCCAAAATAATAAGGACACCAGTCTTGAACATCAGAAAAACTCTTCCTGCGACTGAAAGTGTTCAGGACAAGACTCCTGTTGCTCCAGCTGAGATTGAAGAACAGGAAATCGATAAAGACGTGACTATACAAGCGGAACCAGTCGAGGAGACTATTCCACAGCAATCGGAAGAGGATAGGAATCACCTAGTTTCTTCAACGCCAGCTCCGAAGCCGACAGCTGTGAAGTCGAATAAATTGGGCAGTAATTTGGCATCTCCACTTGCACCTCAGCCCATTCAGTCACAGCATCACGTTGGGCTTTCAGTAAAATTAGAAAAGACTCAGTCTGATCAAGCAATCGATGACGAAGAGTACGAGGAGGTCGAGGAGGGGGGATTCGAACTGGTCGAAGATTTTGATTACTATCAAGTCCATCACAATCGGTTCACGGAGAAGCGCAAAGCACGTCGTGTCCAGCCCTCCGTGTTGACCAGTCACGCCAGAAGACGCAGCAGTATCCTGAAGATTCGTCGTGTATCCAATCAGTACGTGAGCCTCGCTGAAGCCGTGAAGAAGTTCGAAAAGGGGACACCAACGCGTTTCCACACTGTCAGTAATAAGCATCCCAAACCAAAGAACCTGCAGGTGGTTAAGCAACAAGCATTGAAGAAGACCATTCCAATTTCTCCGGCTCTGACATCCAAGAATAGAGTGAGGCGTCGGGCCGTGCCGAGTCAGGCGGAACTCGAAGAGATTGAGCTGCAAAAAATGAAGAGCCATCAGATTCGTGCCAATCCTGTCCCCACGAATATTCTTCAAGCACCACAGCCCATGAAGAGTGTTCCCAAGAAACCGTTGACGTCTCAAAAGCCTTTCCATTTAACTAACCCGAAGAGAGCTTCATCCAGGGCACCGACACAGGCACCTGTTGTCCCCTCATCTGCACAACAATCGAGAAAACCAGCGAAAAAAGTTGTGCCAACAGTAGTGAGCTCTGATGGTGGTGTCACAATAGTAGAGACCCAAATATTACATTTTGGAATTCCTATTCCTCAAAAGGCTCAAGTCACCGGCTCAGCCAAGAAGAAGACCACTCAGCCATTGCCGTTTAATTTCGAGGCCCGTAACAAGCTCTTCATGACGAAGAAGGAAGAGAAGTTGAAGAAATTGCAGAATGAGGAGGAGCAGAAGGCTAAAGTAGAGTTTCACGCGAGACCGATGCCACTGTCTGCCAAGAAACTTCCTCAGCAGATATCGAGACCTGTGAAAGAACCTGGGAAGGACCAGGATCATCCAGGGGAGCTTCAGGACAAGTACAAGCCAAAAGTACTTCCATTCAGCTTCGAAGCGAGGGATAAAGTGCTCATGAAGAAGAAGGAAGAGCTACGAAAGAAAGTCGAAGAGGAGGAAAAGAAGGCAAGGAAGTTTCACGCAAATCCTGCTCCTCATTTTAAACCAGTTCTTGTGAGGGGTAGGTCGAGGGAGAACATCAAAACAGATGATAAAAATCCAGGAACTGTACGTAATCGATCAGCTGAAAATCACAAGGTTGACGTGAAACTCCAGACTCGAGGACGATCTGTGGAAAATCTGAGAGCATTATCTCGTGATAAATCCAAGGAATCGTTGAAGACTCCAAGTGTTCCACGAATGCTTCAGAAACAGATTTCTCTGGGTAAATTATCGGATCATGCTGATGGAGATCAGGAAAACAGACCCCCAAATCATCAGCCAGTAGCCAAGGGGCAGCCAGCGACTAAATCAAATATGCCTCTGCTTAAACCGAAGCTGAAGAGTCTACCAGTCGAGTTGCACAGTGATAAACGAGCCAGAATGCGCAAGGACTTTGATGAGCAGATCAGGATCAAAGCTGCTCTCAAAGAGGAGAAGAGAAGGAGAGATCAGGAGGAGAGGTTGGCCAGGGAGCAGATGGAAATCAAAGAACTGCGAAAGAAGGCTGAAACCCGAGCAAGGCCAATGCCTGTTTACAAACCGATGACTCTCATCAAATCAACCAAACCACTCACTGCTCCTGAGAGTCCAGCATGGGCTAAATCAAAACATTAATCTTTTACGTGTTATTTTTTAAACTATCATTCTCAAATTATTGATTAGTTTTTTTTTTAAAAACACATCTGTAATCACGAAATCTTCATTTAAAGACGCGTATCTTTTATTTAATTCACTGAACTGTCGTTGGAATATTTCTGCAGAATGTAACAAATTTTTTTATAGCAAAAAAAAGAACGAGGATGTCTTGAGGAGATGAAGGTTTCGAATAAATATTTTGAGAATGAAGAACATTACATTAGGCAATTTATTTTTTTGTTTGTATGAAAAGCATTAAACCAGTATCTCTTAGGGCCACCTTTTTGTTTCAATAATAAATAGGAATTACTCAACCTAAATTATACACATTGATTCTTTGCCAATGACCGTGGAATAAAAGAACTATTGCATGCGTTAATAGTGAACCTTATTGTTTCCTCTCCCCCCCTTTATAAATTTGAGTTATGGCAATTGTTGTCATCTCTAGCATCATTTTATTATTCTCTCTAGCATGGGATTTGATTATTCTTAATTTATTATGCCACATCTAAACAGTTGTTTTAATAACAAAAAAGTACAAAAAATGATTCTATGCTTTTGACAAATGTGTTGACAGTGCTTATTGATGTTTTTCTCAATTGACATATTTTATAATAAATATTAAATTCCATTGCACATTTAAAATGATTTCTTCTTGTACAAAATACTGATCATGTTATAATATCATTTGTACTGTTGTATAAGTACGTACCATTCAACCGAGTTTTAATTGTTGAACGATCAGTAAAGAATAAATATTTCTTTTTATGGACATTGTGGCGTATCACGAATTATGCGCTACTACTATTGATATCAAGATTATTGAAAAAAAAATTAGGCAATGGGTATAATGCGAACGAATTTCTAAAATGATGATATTTCAGATTGTGTTGCTGAGTGCAATTATATAAAAAGATAAACAACCTGATAGTCAAAAGTTCAGTCATTAATTTTCTATATTGGCATTTTTAAATTACCTCAGTCGATGAAAAGCCTCAGTTGGTCTTAAAAAAATTCTAATCCCCTCAAAAACAATAGCATCGCACTGATGCCACTCTAGAACGCATGAAAAACTCCTAAGAATGTGGTTGCTGATTAGTTTGGACGATGCCAGAGCATGATTTCAATATACAAATGAACAAAAAATCAAATAAATACATCTAATGGTATCTTCTGGTCCAAGTTAGTACAACTCAAATTTTTTTTTATGTCTCGTTTGCATTTTCATTATTATTTTTCATCTATCACCTTAATTGAAATTGTTGGTTGTGGCATATGAAAACTAAAAGTCTTATCCCGTATTCTCAACAGAACTGTCACGTCAGAGTTCTTTCAATAGAGCGGACTTGGCGTTTTTCAGTTTATCCAGGCGTCGCTGAAGGTGAGAATTTGCTGTCTCGAGTTCTTCAACGCGACCCTGCGATTCTCTCACCTGAAATGCAAAATTTTTTATAAGATAATTCAACACTGCAAATGATAAATTGATAAATAATCTCACGATGGATAATTTAAACGTACTTCTCGCTGTAATTTACGCTTTTCAACTTTGAGCTCGTCCTCAGCCTTCTCTGAAGCTTCAGCCGCAGATTTATAACGAATAACTTGACTCTCTAGCCTTGCCACTGTTGCTTGCAGCGTCGACATGTCCTGCTCGGCCTTCTGCAGTTTAAATTTATAATCAGCGAGTAGTTTATTAGCTTCTCGTTGAACATCATCCGAGTCAGCTAGGCCTTGAAAAAATAATAAAACATTTATTGGCTGATCCGCTCAATAAAATCAATGGCTAACTGAAGAAACTCACCCAATATTGATCCAGATGATCTTTCGGTTCTGTTTCGGCTCTTTGCCTCCTCCAAGTCTAATCTTAAATGCCTTATCTCATCCTGCAATTCCTTTTTCTCCGAGGCAAACTTCCTCAATCGAACGTCTATAAAAAAAAACCCATAAAGTCAATGAATGGATGCATTAATTACTCGAATGATGTCATGTGATTATTTTTAATTTACCTAATGAGCCTTCGCCAGCATTTTGCAGCAATTCAGCAGCCTCTGTACTGACTAGCACTCGCTTCCTGTTAACTATTCCATTCACTCCACCTGTCTCCTCACTCTCACTCCCCTCATCCTCAACTATAACTAGCCCATTATCCTGTATAAGTGTATCCCTCTCCAATAATTGAGCTCTGCAGAGTTCCAGCTCCTCCTTTAATCGTTGATTAACTCGTTTAAGTTGCTCTGACTCTCTATTCTTTTCCCTGAGCTCCCGTCGCAGAGTCGCCGACGACTCCTCCAGCTCCTCCAGCTTATCCTTCAACAACTCCACTTGATAAGAGTACGAGGATTTTTCATTATCAAGCTGAGCATTGGCGATCATAGCCTTCCTGAACTTCTCCTCGAATTCCTTGAGCTCTAATCTTATGTCCCTGTTGAGACCAGCATCCTCGAGGGAGTCTTCAGATGACCTCCGACTCGATTGAAAATTATTTGAATTCGTAAGGAGACGTGATGTTCTAATTGGATCTGGTGTAACTCTCATGGTTCTTCCATCAGAAGTGCACATGTCGTAGACCCTATCAGCATTCTCCTCAGCTTCTTTCTGCTGTCTCTCGAGTTCTCTCATTCGAATTTCTCTAGCCTCTGCTCTTGCCTGTCTCCTCGCCGCCAATCTAGCTTCTGCCTGAAAAATTTACACAAATATTTCTCTCAATAATCCCAAACTCGTCCCATCCATCCTATCCTATAAGTATCCATTGAAAATTCCGTAACTCTGTCAACGTAAATTTATTCCAATCACATACACCTGATAACTGTACGACGTTGTACCAGTACTTGCTCGACTCATACCAATCCACTTATTATACTTCCCTCAACAATTCATCCTGGAAGAGGATTATTTTATCACTCTCTTTTATTTCTAAACAGTGACTATACCTCCTTGGCTATTTGATCGAGAGCTTGATCCTCAGCAGAGTGTCTGGTGGCGGTACGCCTCCGTCCCGCAACCGTTGACTCCATTATATCCTTATTAAACCTTATTTTATTATCTAATTTTCCTCCAATGTATGATGCCAATCTGTTTTGCACGCACCCTAAACTCTGTGGCCTCACAGAGTATTAGACCACCACACTAAGGACAAAGACAAATGATCAATCAAGCATGATTATCAGTTCTATAATGAATTACTCGTTAACACAAATATCTAGCAGTGCTCTAAAAAAAATTAACATTCCCAAAGTACTACATGAAATAAAGAAAGAATAATGCAGGCATTATTTTAATTGTGTCATTCCACCTGAATAATTACAGCAATTAGCGTCTGATCCATGTGATTATACGATTATTATTAGCGTATTAAAATCAAGGACGTAAAAAGAGTGGACAGAGGTTGATGGCAGTGATGGGTGTTGGGTTAAAAACAACACGGGTGATCACAGTTGGTGTAAAAAATGAGAATAAGAGTGATGGAATGACGGAGTGGTTGAGATAAGGTTGAAGGGCATTAATAAATGATACACGTTACGTGTGTGAACGAGTCACAAGGGCGGACGGATAATTAATATTTACTCCTAGTTTTATCATAATAATCGTGGAAAGAGAATAAATTGTGGAGAACACACACATGCGTATGAGTACACACTAACTCACACCCACATGATACGACATCTGAGCGATATGAGGTACATGCATACATGAGTCACATAAAAAAAAGTTGAAAAGAAGAAGAGGAAAAAATAGGATTTTTTTGAGAGGTATGTTACATCGAGATAAATAAATGAACTCACAGAGGTGATAATGTATCAGCCGGCGGTCGAATGCATTTTCAATTCACTACGGTTTCTATTTCCAGTGGTAAAAATAAACCTCAGACCCTATAAATACTATCAATGGAAATTGGATGACTTGTTCTTCTTCCTTAACATCGATGACCATCTGTAGAACGAAAATGACTGAGTCTGGAGTAATTCAGGTGGTGTACACTGATGTTTCGGTAATAATTTGTCACTTTAGTTGTTGAGGTGAGACGGTCAACCGTACAGACGTTATATTATTATTTTAGAGACACTGTATCGTGATCCAAGTTTGGAAAATCGCACACGAATACCGTGCAAGATCCATTTTTCGATCGAGTAACTGGACAGTGTCTCGACATACACTGGCGTATTTACGCACACAGCAATATAATAAATGGGTGTAGCTGGGGAGATCTGGGGATATTTAGGGAATTGAATTGGCGGCTATGTTAACGCGTGGCTGTTTGAATTGTGGAATTGTCATTTTTACGTGAACATGAATTTATTGAGCATTTATTTTATCCACGCTTTTCAAACGCTTTTATAAATGCCAGGGAAACTATAAAAAGGATCGGAAAATCGAAAATCGATCTACAACTTGGATTTATGAAATTTAGAACTTTATTTTTCTTTAGGTTAACGATAGATATGCATAGGAACAAGGTTAATTATAAACTTTCTACATTAATCACTGTTTCACATTTCACATTCACTGTGAAAAAAAGAAGTGAAGGTCTAGATTAAATGGGGGAGGCATGGGCAAAACGGACACCGTAAGAGAAAAACCTATTTTTTCTCGAGAAAATTTTTGAACATTTTCAAATGACTCGGATATAACCAGGAGAAGAGACAAACTCCGTCGATGAAAATATTTTGTAAGACGAATGGGGGCACGCGATTAATTCTGTGTTTTTTCCATGATTGAAACAAAAAAAAATGATGGGAATGGGAAATAAAGAAATTCGGTAAAATTCAAAATTTAACGGTGTCCGGTTGGCCCTGAGTGTCCGTTTTGCACCCGTCTCCCATAATTTTTATTCTCGATGGATTTTTTTCATAGTTAATTGCAAACGTATTCGAAGAATAAATCATCTTCTTTGAATAAATTACTGTGCGCACTCCAGACACTAAAAATAAGTAAGAGAAAATAATCAGTAACGAAATAGATAGCGAATAATAAATTGACGATCTGGAAATAGCACTTACATTTACGATCTGATGGAGACACGAACAAGAATCATGAGTGAAATGTCCGCAACCACGTTCTTTGAAGCTGGTATTGGACTGAATGGGCATGGTGCAGACACTACATTTACTTCCAATTGGATTTTTCAAACAATCTCGACACTGAAATTAAATTACTCGAGGAATTCCCCTTTGAATATTATCCCTCAAAATATTCCAAAAAAATAAGAATTACCAGAATATTATAATATATTACTTCGCGAAAATATTAGCCCGAAAAATGTTACAAGTCGAGATTTTATGATGTCATTATACTGTTTTTAAAAATATTACAAATGTAAGCATTATGATATAAATTCTTTACTGCGCAGAAATATTATACTGGCAAAATATTGTTGCCTTCAATTTTTTTTGAAGCGATATCCCCAAGTGCAGTCCATTGTTGGGATTTGCTTGAGCGAGCTGGTGATTACTTTTGTGTGAATTATGAAATCGATATTATAAAAGTTCGCTGGTAATTGATAGTTATACACTAGATACAACAATTAATTGTTTTTTCTCTTGTTCTTGTAATGTTTCAAAGAAATCTGTGTTTTGTTGAAACATTTTTGGCTGCAATATTCTGCTCTAATATTTTGAAGCAATAATTTTTTCAGTTGTAATATTTTTTTGTTGAGATTTTCTAAGGTAAATTTTGAGTTTTCATTTTGATAGGTAGCCACGGAAAAAAATATTGAGTGATAATAACGTAGAGAAAACCTTTCTCGTGGTTCCAGGAAGTGAGCTGCATTCAGAGTCATAATGCCCACACTCAAGCTGGACTCTTCTCCTAGTATTCGTCAAACTTTCCGAAGAATACCTGCCCTCTCCCCCAGAGACTCCGACGTTTATCCTTTTAAATATTAAATCCTTAATTTATCTATCTTTGTTAGAAATAGAAAAATGTCAAGAAGGAATGAAACAGTCTCTAATTCCTTCATACCCAACACCAGCTGAGGCTCCACCACGCGGGACGTCGTCATCAGTTCCCACACAGAAAGGACAGGGCTATAAATAAATAACATAATGCAATAAACAATTTGTTATTAAATTGCTAAAATCTCCATCGAGATTGCTACATACTATATCAAGAAATCCCCCTGCATCTTTCGCCGCCAGAAGTTTATCCGCATAACATATTCGATGAAACTGATGTCCACAATCTAGTTCGTAACTATTACGAGTAATTCTCTGACCGCAAATGGGACATACTAAATTTCGCCCTCGAGGACGTGTAGACGGTGGTGGAGAAGCGTTTCTGCAATAAAATACAGGAAAAAGTCTTGAATCAGCTACAATCATTGAGTTTCGTTCGCTTTTACCTTCTGTAATGATTTTCATAGTTACGATATTCTCGTCGTCTACTGTAAGCGTATGCACCGAGAGCTAAGAGTATTCCAATTCCGAAAACACCAACGAATAACTGGGGCATGATGTGGACAGCTTAATAATTTGTTCTCGATAACGATCCTTGAATTTATGAGTTTTCTTTTTCCTCAGGTACGCTGGGAGCTCATTGCCATTTTCTGTTAGTAATTCTGCACAAATTGAAAGTAAACACAGCAATTGGTGTGACAAATACATGAAGCAATATTGATTAATGCAGTTTATTTATTTATACAGACCTTTCGGAGAGAATCTTCAATGCAGAAATCAACAATTGATTGGGTTTACTGTCTGTTCGTTAGACCAGAAGTTCTTCCAGAAGAACTTCCAAATTGGGAATTTTTCATTTGATTGGAATTGCTCAGTCGTGCAGTTGCCAATTTCACATATGAAAACCCCCATATAAATTCCAGAATAAACACACAATTACCGACTGAAAATTAAGGACTTTCCTTCTCCACCTGCAGTTGAGTGCAAAAAAAAAACGTTTCACGACTGCTCCATCTCATCATAACCTTCAAAACTTTCTCTCATTCAAAAGATTCAAAATAAACAATTCAATTAATGGCATTTTGTTACTAACAATTGAACACAATGAGTGTCGTAATAGAAACGACGATTGGTGATTTCACTGTGGATTTATTCACCGAAGAGCGACCACAGAGTAAGTTTTTCTAAAAAAACAGAATTTCAGTCTTAATTCCATATTTCAATTGTCTAAAGTAATGAAATAACTTTGAAATGTTTACAGCATGTCGAAACTTCTTGAAACTATGCAAGATAAAATACTACAATTGGAATTTGTTCCACACGGTGCAGAGTAATTTCATAGCACAAACAGGTGATCCAACAGGTACAGGAAAAGGTGGCGAGAGTGTTTATGGGATGATCCTCGGAGAAGAGGCACGTTATTACGAGGGTGAACGAATGCCAAAGCTAAAACACGACAGAATCGGTCTCTTATCGATGGTTAATTGCGGTGATAACATGTTGGGATCTCAATTTTTTATAACTCTGGATCGAGACCTGCAGTCTCTGGACGGTGAGCACTGTGTTTTCGGAGAAATTTCGGAGGGTCTTGAGATAATCCTGAAGCTCAACGAGACAATCTGCGACGGTGACCACCGACCCTATCAAGATATTCGAATATCTCACACAGTTGTCCTCGAAGATCCCTACGATGACCCGGAGAATTTACCAGTACCTGACAGAAGTCCCGAGCCAACGAAGGAGGCCCTCGCCAGCGACAGAATTGGAGCTGACGAGAACCTGGATGACACAGCTGGAATGACAATGGAGGAGATCCTCGAAATGCGGAAGGACAAAGAGGCCAAGGCTGCTGCAACAATTCTTGAAATCGTTGGAGATATTCCAGACGCTGATATTGCACCCCCTGAGAATGTTTTATTCGTCTGCAAACTCAATCCTGTCACTAATGACGACGATTTGGAGATTATTTTCAGCAGATTCGGAAAGATCATTGGCTGCGAGGTAATCAGGGACAGACAGTCCGGTGATTCTCTACAGTACGCGTTCATCGAATTTGCTGATCGGAAAAGCTGTGAGGATGCGTATTTCAAGATGGACAATGTTCTCATCGACGATCGCCGGATTCACGTAGACTTTTCCCAGTCTGTGTCCAAGATGCGTTGGAAAGGAAAGGGAAAGGGATTTCTTTATAATGACGATCAAAGAACTACTGGTGAGACCCGTAAGAATTCTGAGCAGAAAGGTGATAGAGGGGAGAAAAATTCACGTGGTAACAGGGAGAGATATGAGGATTCATGTGACAGGGGTAGATCTCACAGGAAGGACCAGATCAGGGAGAGGAGTAGGAGAGAAGGAAGCAGTGATGATAAGAATGGAAGGGATTATCGCCGACGTGGTTCATCTAACAGGCACAGGCGAGATGATTCAACCAGAAATCGAAGCAGAAGTAGAAATGATGAGGAGAGAGAGCGAACGGATCGTAATAGGGATAGAGACAGTAAAAAGGATAAAAAAAAAGAGCGAGAGAAAAAATCGAGGGATCGCAGTAGATCGAGGAAGGACAAACATAAACACTCGAGGGATAGATCGACAGATAAATATCAGAGGAAGAAAAGATCGGGTTGACTCTGTGGATTAATATTTTTCCGTGTACATAATGAAGGACGAGTGAATAAAAATGAATTGAAATGGAAAGAAAAATCCCTTTTTTCTCGGTGTGAAACCTGCGAGTGATTGTCGATAAGTGCACAGGTAGAATATAATCATTTATTGTTCTTCTCGTCACATATTCCATAATAATTTACAATTGTTATAACGTTACTCGAGCGGGAAGCACGATACGCATCCTCTGATTTATCCTTTTTTTTCGCAAAGAATATTACGTAGCCATTTAGTCTTTCATGTCCTCCCTGATTAGTTATCCTCGCAGCATTTATTTTCATGGTTAATTCACAATTAGCCGAGTCGGTGGGACAATTCAATAATGAGGACAAGTTTAAATATCACAAAAAAAAAATCAACATCATCCATATTTCGTTATAACAAACCAATAATAATCCCCACTGAATCTAAATTAAAGTATTTATATAATCGAATGTTAATTAAATAAAAATGCGGTAATTATGATTAGATAAAAAGAAATTGAGGATTGAGAGATCATCGCGACGAATTATCTTCTTTAAAATTTTGATTTTCAGTAAAAAATTATTAATCAAAATGATTTTTGGTAAAATATCTTCGAGAGTAATAAAATTATTTTTAGTTAGGGATGAATTCCTGTGTTATTATTTCCTTGTGATATTTAGACATGTAATTATTAATAATAACTGCAAAATCATAATCCAAGCTCATGGTTACACTCAGAAATAAATTTCATATTCTATTAATGAAAGTGGTGCAACAAAAACTACAGACGGTTAAACTGGACACTTTACAAGTGTTCACGATGATTTGAACACATTAATTCAAGAGATGGGATTGATTTTCTTCCATTACTCTTATTACTATGCTATTGGAGAATAAATAAATAATGGACTCAGAGCTAGCTGATATGTCACGAGTCTGATTGATTGATACCAATAATTTCAACGAATGATAATCCGATATTTTTATAATCGGTGATAAAATAAAAATTTTACGAATGCATTCAGCCGTTTCTAGCGTTGACCTATCATTGAAAAAATATTATTCGACGTAATTTATTTAGATAAATAAACTCACACTTTATACAGTTGAGATCTCTTCCTCGATTCAATTTTCTATTAAAAAAATATTATTCAAACCTACATTGAAAATAGCTCAGTTTATGTTCTTTTTCAATAGTCAATTTTCCCCTTGAAAATTTCACCGTCGCTGTGCAATCCCAACATTTTTAATACATTTAGCTCATTCTATAATGAATATATTTCTTTCTTTACGAAATTTTTTATCGTGTTTAATCATTGATAAAAAATCAATAATACTTTATCGAACTGTGATCGGCTGCAGAATCATTACCCCATTTGATTTATCCTTCCTCTGTACAATCTTGTATTCAATATCTCTCAATATTATTCAAAGGAATTGCTCGTGCAATCGACTTTTGCCCAATTACAAATATCTGAAATAATCCAATCGTTTGTGTCATTTGCTCTTGTTATTTTTGTTTCAATACACAAAAGTAGAAGCAAATTAAATATCATAGCATAAATCAAATGTCAGTAATTCACATTTAATTAATAGTACACCAACTTATATACATTCAGTATAATCGTACTATGACGTATTTATGACGTATTATGCACTGTCGTACTGGACAATAACACGGATAAACAAATACTTTAGTCGTTATTTGCGTTTCGTAAATTCGGCCGTATACACATTACACTCAATAGCGAAACTACCGATTGAATTACACTGCACGTATTATTTAATAAATTCCTTGATTTTTTTTTTCTAAAAAAATGTCTTCATTTTTGTATAATTTTGCACTGCAAGTCTTCTTTCGTTTCGCATATCGACATTTACTGAATAAATTTATTAATAATATCAGTCACACGACACGCGAATAGAATCAGTAAAGCGAGATTGCAATTCAGATTTAATTAGTCATGGAGTTAGCACCTCATTTTGTTCAATTATCTTTAGTAATGATACATTAAGAACATTTTTATAAATATATAATCCTTATATCAGCCAAATAATCATCACACCATAGCGCATACGGCAAAAGCCATATGACGGGTTCCAGTACATTGTTTATTTATTTTTTTTTCAATTTTTTCGCTTTTTCGGTTTTTATATTTTTTATTGTTGTTATTTAGTAACTCGGGAGTGAGGATATCTTGAGCATTGCAAAATTATATTTTACGTGTTTGTTAATAGGCGATTGGTTAACAATTAATTTAAAATACCAAGCTATATTTTGTGATTGCACACTCACGATCGATAGATAAATAATCGTAACACTCAGTGGAATAACGAGAGAAAACAATTAAATGACATCCATATGCGACAATAATCGAGACATTTTTTTTGCATATGTCATTGGTAAACAGTCTTTGATCGCTCGGTGTAATTTTCATTGTTTTTTTTTAATAATTAAATTATAGCGGATCAGTTGCACGAGAGTTCAATAAGTTAATTTGCAGGAATGCATTAATATTTAGATAATAACAAACGACTGAGATGTGGAATAAATGAATAAATAATCGAATTCCCATAGAGTCTGTGATTTTTTCCTCGGCTAAATAATTATCCCACGTAATTGACGAACAGACAAAACTTCCCACAAATATTTTTTCATGTAATAAAAAAAATTACTGAGCGATTTCCGTCTTATATCTTCTAAAAGCAGGAAGTAGACACGGTTGTAGAGTTTTACTTATTTTCCATTATTCTTCGGTACTTTGGTAAATTCCAAATACGAGATCTATCTGTTACTTTCTTATTATGTCAATGGTAGGCTAGAGAATCACTGACATTATAAAGCTAACAAACAAAAAAGAAAAACGATAGATAAGAAAAGATAGAATTCCCACTTGAAATTTTTCGCCCATCGCCCCATATTTTCCTGCACTCTCTTGTTCCCTATTAGTTCACCAATTAATTCTCGATAATTACTCATGAGACTAGCTGGTATGTTAAAATTTAGTTCACCAATTAATTCTCGATAATTACTCATGAGACTAGCTGGTATGTTAAAATTTAGTTCACCAATTAATTCTCGATAATTACTCATGAGACTAGCTGGTATGTTAAAATTTTCCGCCTTTAATTAATTAATCAACTATCTACGTGAAAGGGAATACGAAATATTCAATTCGGAAAGAGTAGCAAAATTTTAAATCCCAATGGAATGAATATCAAGAGGAATTAATCATAAAAAGATTGAAGTGTTAAATTAGAATACCAGATAGTCCTCAGCAGTGGAAAAAATTCAGATTAAAGTCCCTTCAACTTAATAGAGTAAGTGCTGGGGTAGATTGGGATATCCTTGACGCTGAGAGTTCATCATCTGCGAGAAATTGACAATGTCATTAAGACTGCGTCCCAGGTACGTATCGTATCCCTAAAAACATTAACAATAACAATAACAATTAGCAATAAAATTCCTATTAACATTATCATAAATAATAATAATGTGAATTATTATGAATTATCAATGAATAATTGATAATTGCAATGCACTATCGAAAGGTATAAAAATAACTATAAAAATCCCTTAAACAAATAATTGAAAAATAAATTTAATAAACAATCCGTCGACTGCATTAATTTGTATTAAGGCCCGGATGGACTGTCTGGAAGAGATAATTTACTCCAAAATTGGGACTTCTAATTACTCCGTTTATTAATCGTTTTTTCCGATAATTGTTAGCTAGCAGCCTAGTTGTTGACAACCGCTAGAACGCTACCTAACAATTATTGAAAAAGACGATTAATTGCCAAAGTAATTAGGAATCCGAATGTCGGAGTAAATTATCTTTTCTAGATAATCCACCCGAGCCTTAAGGCTGATAATGATTGAAGGATTTTTACAGTGCAATTATAGTTATACAATGAATTCTCACCTGTGATCGCTTTCTGGAAACTACGAAGCGCTTCTCCGGTGGATAATAACTATTATGAGGATACAATGACCGGTACTGGGTGGTATCATAGGGTGAATTATCGTAAGCCGGTGCATACTGACTGCTGTACTGCTCGTACGAATTAATGGGATGAGTTCTCGGTATTCCAATATCGGATGGAGAAATTTCCGGTGCAAAATTGAAGTGATGGGGTGCATAAACAGGTCCCTCCAGCCATCCACCTGAATAAAAAATAAAATTCCCCACTGATAAACCAGGACAATGACAAATGGAATAATGAGAATGTCCTATTGTCCACTCACCCCTGGGATCCTCATCCTCCAATCCTATCAGGTTTCCATCGTCCTCGATATTGTCGTACTCGTCGTTCCCATAGCTCCTCGAATTCCTAAATGCAATAACGCTATTACTCATGGGAAAAATGTATGAAATTATTCAGATCTCTGAATCTCGGATTACCTAGCTCTCGGTCCATTTTCCCAGAGGGAGATGAGCGCCAGGAGGTCCTCACGATCTAAGGCACGTTTATACCTGGGCTCCTGGTAGAGAGGCAAACTGAAAATATTTAAAACAGACAAAACGATTTTACTTCATGGTAATTAAGTCGTAAAGATCGGAGTGCATATAACGAGTGGGGGAGGCTCAAGTACCCAATTAAAATAGTAATTACCCATCCTAATCGTCTAATTCTGTCATAAAACCCAAGACGAGGGACATTTCCTGGTATTAGAATGGAGTATGAATAAATATATGAATAAAATAAGCTGCTGTAGGGGCTCATTGCCAAATGACCATTACAATAACCATCGGATTGGCTAATAGAATTCCAGGATGGCTGAAGCTTTTGCGAGTGGTAATAGCGAGTCGGGAAAATAGCGATGGGATTTATGGGTGAAGAGCAAAGGTTCCAGTTCCAGTTTCAGTCTGCGAGTGTATAGGTATAAAGGCACTCAGTCGGTTGATATCGTTATCTGGGAAAAAACCCTGGCAACACGCCAAATCCATCCCCTCTTCATCTTCCTCTGACCCAGTTTCCCTGGAGCCTTCATTCAGCTTTTGGTCTCGGGTCGGCCCATCCCTCTTTCTCCTTCACTCGTTTCGATATATCACATCACCTGCGTCACAAGTATCGAACGGTTGTTCAACACATAGACGAGGGAATTTCACATATAGTGTACATAGATTTCACAGATTCTGATGCACATAATGCTGATGGAAACACCGAGTACATGCAGTCGGTTTTGTTTATTAGGAGACTGTTAATTCAGGCTGAATGCGTGTTATCAACTCCCGCTATTCAATGGCTATCGGTATTTTCAATTATCGTTTTAACCGATTCTTTGGGGCTACCATGAAGGAATGATAAAAATTGCTGAAACGATTGAGTCTATTGTTGGTTTGCATTGACCCAGTGATGTTGTAGTATTCATGAGTTGAGCTTTTTTTCAACTAGACTGAGATATTAGTTTCTAGTTTTATCCCTCAGGGTCATTGTTTAATGAGTTATGAGCAGGTCCAGTCACTTGTCATGAATAATTGAGAGGGGGAGATGTGCGTGGGGAATTGATGAGATTGAATCAATTCTCATGTTGAGGGGTGGCAAGGAATACTTGTTCAATAGTTGTAAAAATATTGATTGACGAGGACAAGGGGGTGGAGATCGACAGATACAGATCGATCGGCACTGGCCCTTTTTCATCGGCAATCTACAGGTGGACTCTGAGGGGTTCATTCTGATGGAAGCTCATACCCTAGTTCATTCGAGTGTTCGATATGAGGTAATTATAGATTGGGATTATTACTGGAATTATTACTCCAATTATTAGTGGGGGACTTCTTGGTGTCGTTAAATTACGATTGACTAGCCGATCGGGTATTATTTAACTCACCTTCGTTTTGTCTGGATGAATGAACGTGGCGAGCTCTGGATTATTGGCAAGGGTGAGGCAGAAGTGGATGATGGTGACACAGTTGTTGGATGTGGTGGTGCCCCAGACGTTGGGGCGCCCTGACTTTTCGATTCTGATCTCTTCCGCCGATCCTCGTCCAGTCCGAAGTAATTACCATAAGGCGGCATGTCCCAGTTCCTGGGGAGATCGTCTCCGACTTCGTTCATCATTACTTTTCCATAGCTGTTAGCAATCGAGGAAATCAAAATGTCAAAGTTGATGTGGAAATTCAAATGGAATAATTGGGGAATCTGGGGATTAATCGCAGATATGTGCAGATCTGTTTGGATCGTTTGGATTGTTTGATGAATGAAGTTTAATTATGGTTTTGATAACTCACTCGTAATTATTCTGGTACGGTGGGAGGTGCTCCCGAGCAAAAATACTGGGCTGTTTGGGGTGGCTGAATGTCTCATCCTCTGCCAAAGCAGCTTTGACATCCTCCAGGCCAGAAGTACCGAGGGTTCCTGTTACCGATATTGAAAATCAATTATCGGGGGGAATTTCGTTTTATTTAGTTAGTTGGGTAATTCGATAGAGTCTGATGAACTCACGTTTTTCCGCTGTTGGGGCGAATACGTTGGAGGCACCAGGATTTTCCGTTCGTCGGTTCTGTTGATTACCGAACATGAGCACCTCCTGTGCTCTCTTTGCTTTTGGCCGCATTACTTGATCCGATTTAACGATATCCTGGAGCAACCCCGTTGGCACCGCATCCATCTGGGCTACCACTATCCCGAGGGCGAGGATCCGCGCCCAATTGGAGATCATCTGAGAAAGAAACGGCTGATAACAATTTGGGAAGTACATTTTTTTTACCGATTTTTTGCCGATATCTCGGGATTAAACGGAGTTAGCGATATTTTCATTATTACCTTTTTTGTAGCTCTCGTATTTCTCTATGAAAAGTGTTCATACAAAAAATTTATATCTTTCGTCAGTTTTGAGATATCGGCGAATAATTGATTGCGGAAAAAATGTACTTGTCCTAGTTCATCAGATCGGTACGGAAATGGTAAGGAATCGTTCTCGTAAATTAATAGATATCAATACTATTTAATATTAATTGCCATTTTCATGAAATAATACGGTATGTACGATTTAGTTTAGTAAATAGCTTTTAGGCATCAGACACTTGTTGCGGCCGAGACCAAACGGCATTTAATCACGAAATCTTCCACAGCTGTTTGAATCGCTGACGATTTTCCATTTCAAAGGAATAAATTCCCGCTATTCAAATTTATCTTCACGTTTCATTGCAATACCACGAGATACGGAAATGAACTTCAGATTAAAGTCAATTATCACCGACCAATTGATACCAATTTATTGAGCAAAAGGTGATGTAGGTAAATAAAAGAACTTGGAAGACATAAAATTATTCAAATGTTTTATGGAAAGGATAATTGGAGCTTGCCTTGTGTTTTCAGCTTTCAGTTTTTCTGGACTGGTGATGAATTTTCCTCTCCGGATGCAGACGTATTGTCGATTCTCTGGGTATCAGAACTCGAGTCCTTCCTCCACAACGGAGAATCTAGAAGTGAGCCAACACCTCACTCTGAAACCATGTCCCGGATAGCAATGGGGATGCGAGAGGGGTAGAAAATGTGTAGGTGGATACGGTCGATCAACCATCCCTACCCTGATAAAACTCTCCCCACCAGGATTTCCTTTCAGAGAAAATTCTCCATCAACCCCTACCCTCTGTCACCCCGAGAAGAAAACCCATGGCATTGGTTGACTCTCAAAGGTGAGAAAAAAAAATTACATTCCAAGATGGCAATCCTGTATTCTCCTCAAATTTTTCTTCTCAAAATGAGCTATTGAAATTGTCTGTTTAATTATTGGTAACTAGGATTGATCGATGAATGGCGGGCGCTGATGTCTTCGGTTAGGTGGGCTTCGTGGAAAATTACTGGGGAAATCTGAGAGGCGCTGAGAAAAAAAATTCACCCTCCATTCACCACCCCCAAATGGACTGTACACCCACGTGATTCAAGTACAACCTGGACGCCCACACCGGCACCGCCCTGTTCATGTTTCCAGGGTACAATACGAGAAGAAGTCTTCCTGAATGTGAAAATTCTATTTCCATGATTCCTCAACCACCTCGCGTTTCTCATTCTTCTTGCACTTACTCCCATGTGTCACTGGCTTTTCCCTATTATTATTGTCCTCAACTCGATCTTCAATGGAATACCTGAGACTCGTGTTCATGAGGATAAAATATGATGAATGAGTTCATCAAGAATGGATAACTTTCGAGTCATTCAATTCATTTTTAGACATCAGTTTTTAGCCAATATCTCGTAATCGGCGTGACTCAGCCCATTTTTTGTATTAACATTTTTTATCGAAAAAGATCGGGACTATAAAAAAGGTATCTATGAAAATATCGTTATTCTCCCTCAATTTCGAGATATTGAAGAAAATGCGCGTATCCTAGTTTACCACTCCGAGACAGAGTGGAAAATTATTTTCCAGATTTTTCTCAGCCCCTTTTCATAATTGGCAGAGCTCCAAGAAAAAAGTTAAAAAATATTTACATAATGATGACTATAATAATAATAATAACAATAATAAGAATTATTATTATATAATGGTGATCAAAATAAATAATTCGTTGGAAAGAAATCAAAATAAATAATTCGGTGTGAAAATCAGTATTGAAATTGAAAATATTAATAAATAAATTGTCTTAAGGGATGATTTTTTAATGAGAAATAATGTCAATACGGAATGTCAGATGTGAAAAATCGTCTGATAGGAAGAGGGTCGAAAGTTGTTTTATTCATTCATCTATAAATTTTTTTACTGTGGTTTCAGTGATGGCCACGATATCCCAGCGAGTTTGTGCTGTCCTGGAACTGCGTGGGAGAGCTTGAACGAAAATAGGGGAGGGATTTGGGGTGGTGAGAGCAGAAGGGGGATGGAGGGTGGAGGAGGGACCATTGACGTCAGCTGCTATTCACCGATTGAGTTTGTTGCTGAGAAACAACTGGAGGAACTTGAGGAGAGTACAGTGGTGGTGGAGGGGTTGAAATAAACGAGGCAGGGGTGGATTTGCTGGAAAAACGTGGGTGGAAAAGCCTCCAAGACATACCCCAGCGGTTCTCCATTTATCTTTGATAACTTGTCAGCAATGATGTCAATGATGGCCATATCTCCTTAAAATGTAACGGTTGAATGAAGCGCGTAATCGAAATTGTTCATCAACTCAGCGACGAGACAGATTTTTCCCCAGGTCAGATTTAATCTTCCCGCCTGTTATCAGGAATTTCCTCTGTTTTCTCTCTGGTTGCACTTCCCTGGGTTGGATAAAAATGGCTTTTAACTGATGGACACTATTGGAAAAAGCCCTGCTGCGATGGCAAAAGCTGAAAAGCTCGTCTCAGTGCGGTAGGCCAACAACGGAATCTACAAATCGATCTCATGGTGCTGCGTAGTAGAGACTGCCTGTTGATATGAGCTCGAGTTTCATTCATAAAACAAGCAAAAGCCCTCTCGTATTTCCAACAGAGTGTGAACTAAACTTTTCCGATAAGTTCAAAAGTCAATAGATTCTGTTCCGCACACGCAATTTTATTTTTTTCTTTTCTATTTTTATTGATTTTTCGTTAATAAACATTAATTTTTCAGAGGGCAATTTCTCGTTCTTCAATTCCCCTCGGGCCACAATTATTTCTATTATTTGTATTTGTTCTTCCCGATTCGATGATTCCTCGGAATTGCTCATATGTTTTTTATTTATTTATTGAATTAATTAAAAGGATTAAAAATAGGAAAAGAAAATTGTGCGATTTTCGTAATAATTTTGATATATTAATGAACAGCAACAATTACAAGACTTCCTGGTCATACAATTTATTGAAATATTTCTTCCAATTATCTTATTCCTATCAGTAACAATATGATCTTTTGACGATGAATTCTTTCAATTTGAAGATTTAATTATTGATTTGTTAAACTGATTTGAGATGCAGATCGGTTAATGTTTTGTCAATTTTCATGGATGTTAAGATGATGACGCGAATTACATTCGAGTACAGCAAAAAAAAAATATACACATCAAGACAATGGGGATTGCTTTCTCTAAAGCGTGAATTGACACAGATTTTTGCACCTCGCTCCACCTTTTAATTACATAAATATTTCGGGGGAAGAAGCTGCTCTGTTCTAATTATACAGCTGGATATTCTATCCTCTTTTGCTTGATCCTCAGAGCCCATCGATATCGATCTATCTACATTTACCGTACTGCAAGTAAAAATTTGCTGTATGAATTTCTCCTCCTCTTATTTTTGAGAATAAAAAATTCTACTGAATATATTCATCTACTATTGTCCCTTCCTCCTTAATCTGTACATTCCCCACACAGATTTTAGTCCGGAAGTTATTTCCATAGTTTAAATGATACAATAAGATGAGATAATAAATACATTTCAATGGAAAATGAAACCTGAGTGTATGTTAGCTGCGTCTGCACATGATTTATGTTTTATCAGACTCATATTAAATTCAATATAAAACCCGATATGATCAATTGCAGTGTTCGTAAAATTATTATTTGTCAGTTACTGGCACCTCCACGTTTCACTTTGCATTCTTCCATTATCATAATATAGGATCGCTTTGATCAGACGGTCATGGTGAATTTTTCACAGACAATATCAAGATCGAATGACATCCGAGCTACGAACTAAAACAAAAACAAATGCTCCAAAATCATAAATAAAAAATAAATCCAAGTACTTCTCCAGTGCGAGTCGATGAAAAATATTTTATTCGACAATTTCCCCTTGGTAATCATAAAAATGGACATACAAAAACATTCCAAAGACAAATTGTTCTCTATCAATTTATCGATTACCTCTTGCCATCGACTCTTGAGATTTCCTCCCTTCCGTAACTTTTTGTCGTTATAACAAACCGATCGACTTCGATATTATGCATCACATTGACTCTAATGTCTAAATAATAATGTCGTTATTACAATGTCACGAGCAATCGGTTTGATAAAAATTAAAAAACAGGTAATGATAAGAAGAAAATAAAGTTACAAATGAGGAAGTGGCTCGACGAGGAGACAAGAAAGTACGTAAAGTATCCCGAGAAACACATTGAGCATTGCTGTTTGCTTAGGAACACTCTGTATCGTCAGTGGATTTCTGAATTGTTTCTCAATTTTGAATGCAGTCGGTAGGGTAACGAGTGGCAGTAGAAACCATACCGAATACCTAAGTGCAAGTACAACGAGCGTTATGTACGGTGTAAATAGTAAAAAAGCGTATAAAACGTGTGATGCAGTGCGACCAATAAGAATGGCCAAAGTTACAATTCCAGCTCGCCTGTCATTCTCGAGATCGCGAGTATTATTACTGTGCAATATGGCCTCAGTATTGAGTGCCAATGGTATCGCATAGTAGATTGTACCCCATTTAATGTAACCAGTTTGCGCCATAAAAGCGAATAATACAGAAATTGGGCCGAATATTACAAGTATAAGTACGTCACCGAGTGCAATATACTTGAGTCCAATACCACCGGTATACAGGAATGATGATGACAGACCACCGAAGAATACAAGCGCCAGATGTTCCATTTTAGCCGGTGATATTGTTGTTAGAAGTACGAAACCAAGACATCCAGACGCGTAAAGTATTGTGCCTAATGATACTAATTCGTCTTTAGATAATAACTTGTCGACCAGTATTCTGTCGTCACTTTTACCACCACTGTCAACACCCATTATGTAATCAAAATATGTATTTACTACGTTTCCAGCTCCATGCACTGATAATATCGTTTGCAGGGTTAGAACAAATGATATTAAACTGAAATTATCGAGTCCAGTTAAACGGTAGGCCAGTGCTGCACCCAGAAGTGTTGGCATCAGTGATGCACTGAGAGACCAAGGACGAACTGCCAAAACATACGAGGACAATTTCATCAGCGGTGATTTCAGAGTTGATGATGTTGATGCACCATTTGTTGTTGTTTGTTGCCTCAATGTGTTTGAATCCTCATGGCTAGAGCTCGGCATCCCATTCGACATCATGATCTTTTTTATATTTCCTGAATAACATTCAATTATTATTTTCACGTTAGTATATTAATTAATCTCTCTTATCCATATCATCTCTTCTCCTCATACACCCCATCATTATAGTGGTGAAACTAAACTAAAGCATCAAATCATCTTTCAACGAGGACAATAATAAATCGAAATTACAAAATTACTATGTTATGACATGCGTGCAATTTTTCAGGTTAGAAACACTTGCTTTCCTAGAATTCCAGGTAAATAATGCGGAGAATTCCTGAAAGGAAATTGAAGCAAATTTGAATCTTCAAATATCGAGAAGTCTTGATCAATCTACACCTGACAGTTAATCAGTAACTAGAAGAGTTTTAAATTGCGATATAATTCTCTGTAAGAAATCTGTGGAATTCTGTTTATTTCCTGTACGAAACTGGATATTCGCCCTGAGGAGTGACACTTGACACCTGGCAGGTGTTGGCAGGAAGATAATTTCCTGTTCTAATTCAATTCCTCATAATTGCTGAGAAATGACGATAAGATATTCAACTAATTACTCTCATCATCATCAAACGTGTACGTGGAAGTACATGAATGAACCTCATTGAAATGATAATCGATCCACAACAATTGAAGAGCATTAATTAACAAACGAAGATTGCGAGGGGTTTCATAAAGTGAAAGTAATGGTAAATATTCACCTCCGGTTGTCCCGTCAAAAGATGAAGTTAGGTTAAGAATATATTTCAATCCCTCTGAATAATCATTTCTGTATCTTATGATTGAATTTTGATGGATGATTATGGGACACGTGGACACCTAATGAAATGACATTTTCCTTATTTTTTTTTCGTCCGTTCGATTTATCTCAATGAATTTCCTCAGCTGCACTTGAATAACACTCCGAGAAGCAGCGCAACTATGTTGATGACGTGTTTTTACAATTTTGGCACGTGGCGCTATCTAACACCTGGATTTCGTCTTCTGAATATCCAAAAATAAATCAACAAAAACAAATGGTTGCTTCGACAGACGTTTTTGCAGTTATCGCGCGTGCATCTTCAGCTGATTTTGACAATTATTAGGTGGCAATGGTGGAGATAAAAAGTCTGCCCTTGCTGCAGGATGCCAGGTTTATTGTTATTGATGAAGGTAACCTCGTCGATCAAGCAATTGATTATTTAAAAATAATGATTCCTTGATGATTTTGCAGGTGTCGAAGTGCTGCATGGGACAGATCTCGTTGCAGGCTGGCTGAACATGTGGAAAAACACCGGCTCCACTCATTCCACAGATTTATTACTATTTTCAGATCCGAAAATAGCGTTTGATCACTGGACAGAGATGTTTGGGGAAAAATGCTTGAGAGTTCATGATTATTACACACAAGATATCGATGATATTTATAATCTGCAGACTGTAGATCTGAAGGGGATCATGCAGAGGTTCGCCTCTGGGAAGGAATCAACAGTCATCATCAATTGTCTGAGTAGTTTAATTCTGTCAGTTGGTCTGGCTGAAGCTGCAAGATTCGTGGAGAAGCTGGGGACCCAGGTCTCTCAATTAATCTGTATCTATCGAAGAGATTTTGGTATCAACAGAATTCCAGCGGTAGAAACCCTGGGTAGTACGTACGTTCGGCTCGATAAATCCAGCACGAACTCCTGGTGTGACATCAATTATGAAATATCTGTTACACATCGTAAACAGGGAGGCGGAATTATCAAACATCATGTGGTGATTACTCAGGATATTTCCACGTACGAGATAAAATCTGAGAAAATTCCAGTGCAGACTCCAAAAAATCCTCAGACATCTCCAATGAAACCCCAAGCGACATTCAGATTAGACATGAATTCTCGCGAGCTAGAACAGAAAAATGAAACCCCTCTGCCTTATATAATCAATAACGACAGGAATTCGACGAACGAATCGAAAATTCTCTATGTACCTGACGACATTGATGACCTGGACGAAGAAGATCCCGATGATGATCTGCCATTTTGATTTCAAGGAATTCATAATAAAGAAGACTATTCAACTGTCGTGTATTTATTTATCCTTTCTTTGGCAAAATCATTGCGCTACAGTTTTCATTGCGCAATGGTAAAACGCGACTCTCGTACACATTAAATCTTATATTCACCCTAAAAAATAAACTTTCAGTACAATAATCATTATGCTGATTGAACTTCATAGCATTTCTTCTCTTTATCACATTTGTTACCAGAAATCATTTAAATCATTGTATAATACAAAAAGCCGAGAAATGAACGGCTTGGACGAGAATTCATAACAGATCCCAATCTAACAGCTGTAGATATTGTTCGAGAGCCACATAGCTTTTGTTCATTTCCCTCTAAAACAATCGATTGTTCTGCGTTCGTTATAAAATAAGGTACTAAGGATGGGTGCGTTGAATTGTTCGCTAATGTGAAGTTGAAAAGCAGCATCGACCTGCGTAGCTACCGCGTCATTAAAAAATCATATTCCTAAACTTAAAGAAAGCCTCATAATTATTACAACCTCATTAATGCCAGTCTCCATCATCAATTAAAATAGTCACTAACAGTCGTTAATACTCGTAAAATCTTTAGGTTACAAGGATGACTCCCCATGATTCGATAGTGAAATCACAATACTAAAGAGACGAGGAAATCTTCAAAAACCCGTGAATGAATTAATATGGTTCATAAATTATTCCCTCAGTGTCAGACATCTACCCCCGGAAAGTATATAAAATATTTTTATCTTGGAAATGATGAGTGCCATCAACATGATGAAGTACTCGACTCTCAAGAAGACAGCGCCCATATCGCACAGCTTCGTCACGATTCTGGGCTACATCAGCCTCCAACAACCAATTAACAAGATCAGTCCCAGAAAAAACTCCCTCGTAAACGGTAAGCAGTCGCCTACGACACATGGAGATCCTTTCACGACACTCTCGAAGATGACACCGGCTGAACTGCTCTCGTATCATCCTGGCTTCTGGACTGAGAGAGGCTTCATCAGGTAGTTGGAGTTTCTGTCGTGCCTTCCACTCTTGGCAGGCATTCTTCAACCATTTGCCCAATCTCCCAAGACTGGGGTCGAGACCAAAAATACCAAAAGCGATGAGTGGCTGTCCAAAATTGAATGCCACATCCAAAAACGCCAATTCCGCGTAAACACCCGTCATTTGTTCCATGATCATGGTTCCAACGGAGAGCACAAGTCCAATGAACATCGAGCAGAGAAGAAAAATTATGAATACAACGTGACGAAGAATCTGTGGATCGTCATCATTTCTTGTTTCCCTCTCATTGTCAGATTCTGCTTCGTATTCGTCTAGTGTTCCTGTTGCAGCAGCACATAATCCCCTCTGGAAGGTGCAATTGTTGTCGAGGCCACAGGGATTTGTGGGGGCTGGTGATATCGGTGTGATGAGGTCCTCGACATCCACAACGTTTCTCGTCTCGATCGTCGTAGACTCGACGTTTTCATTGTTACCTATGAGACTGGCGTACGCCTCTGTGTGCTGACGCCTCTGATACCTCTGATGAAGCACCAGACAGCCGATAGTTACGATGAAGCTGAAGAGTAGAATAAATATTGAAACAGCCCCCTCAGCGCTCCCTAACTGGAAATTTGGATTTCTCAGATCTGGCATTGGTGATTTCCTTGGAGTGATTATGGCACACATGAGTGCGATGAGGATGACAGGTATCACGAGAGCTGCTGGAACGATCCACCTCTGCAGATCTCGAACAAAAGACACAGACTTTGATGTGAGGAATAATAAAGTAGCTGCCATAGTTGCTGTCAGCAGGCGACTGGCATAGACTCCTCCTGTGATAAATGCACATTGAATATACCAGAGTGGAGAGCCAGTGCTCTCAACTTCCAGCTTCGTCCAGATTATCACACCAACAGCTACTGTAAACTGGGCTATGATGATGCAAATGGTGCACCGATGCGTCGGACGTTTCCATTTTTTCCCCTCGAGAACGAAGAAACAAATAATGAGCCACACACATGCCACAGCAGAAGCAACAGATATGTCCAGTGAGAATGCATTTAATTGTCTGGCGTAGTTCTCCGGTGAAACTCCATTATTGATCGCAGTGATGACTTTAGCCGAGACAAACATCAGGGGAGCAGACATGAATGTGCAAGCAACCATTGCTGATGCGATTAAATCAATTTCCATGTTGTAGCGAAGAGTGAAAATGAAGAGCGCTGGCGCCGTGGGTATTGTTCCATACAGAAATCCATAAGTGCTGAGGTCTCGCGTGTCTGTCTCGTTGGAACCTGCATTCAGGAGAATCACTGATTCTCGTATAACGAGGGGAAGTGCCAGGAGTTTAACTAGAATTAAAATCCCTGGGATGACCAGTGCAGCTCCTTTAAGGGTGTGCACTTTCCCCACCATCATGAGACCCAGAAGAAATAAAGCACTGGCTGAGAAGGCATTTCCAAATACTTTCAGGATAACTGAGAGAATAGTGGGAACAGAGTGACTGAAAACGAAATTCCCGATTATTCCTAGGACTGTCATGAAGAGGATGGGATTGAAAGCCACTCCCTTCATCACTGATCCCACCAGAGTCCATCCTGACTGCTGTTCACTGCCAGTTCTTCTTTTTCCTATTTCGAGTAATACGAAGCCAATTGGATTCAGGATGGCGAGGGATATGGGGGCCATCAGGTAGAGATATGCTGAATATTCTGGATGTGTGTGACCGTAGAGAGCATCGATCATTGGGTAGCCGATGGCGAAGTCATTGCTCTGGGTCGCAAATATCGCGAAAACTGCCGCACGACCGGGATTCGTTGGCTTTGTAATCATCAAGGACACCATAAGGACTACGAAGAATACGCAGCCCTTGGCGATCAACACTGCCAGCAGGAAGTTCCAGTTTACCACGGAGAAGTCGAGTCTTGCTAGTGATGAGAATATCAATGAAGGGAGGGCAAAGGTCCCCACGAAGGTGTTCAAACCATTTGCCTCTGACCTTGTAATTATTTCTAGCCTCCCGGCGATGTAGCTGGAAATTAAGACAGTATTACGACAATTGGCGGGGAAATCTCGTGATTAGATATTTTTTTTTGTACCTACCCACATAGTATTATTGCAAAGCACTGGATCAAAGCCAAGTACAAATTGTCCGTTGGTGCATCAGGTGAAACGTTCAAAAACTCCATGGTATCAACTTTGTCACGAGGTTATTCAATCCCCAATGTTCAAAAGCTGTTGAATATTCCTGCAACATAATGCGATCTTTTTATAATGTAGAATTCTATTACCTGAAACATATGTCTCGAGGTTTCTAATTGGTTGAAAAAAGAGTATGAAGTTCATGCAGTTAGACGTGATTCATACAATTGTGATATGCAGGCACGTGATGAAGAGTGATCCAACAAAATTGAATGTTCAACTCACAATTTGATGACATCCGTCATTCTCGAATGATTACAGAAGATTATTCTGTACCCAAGAACTCGTTTCACCGCAATCCCCGAAATTCATTGAAGCACTGAATATTGACATTTGTCGACGTGGTAAACCGGACTTTGATATGACAATTGTTTCTCGAGATTAATAATATTCATAACTTGTTTTGGATTAACAGAGTAAGAGGTTATTATCGCACATCTTGATGAGCACCTTACTTACACCTCATGGGTAGTATGTACATTTGTCTCAACACATTGCAATCCATTTTGTATTGGACCTGAAGCACGTACACCACGGCTGTCAGCTGTGCTGCTGCGCATGCGGACTGTCAAGAGATTATAAGGGATATCAACAGCGCACCGTAAATATGGCGGGGCGCTACATGCAATTCTGGGGTGTCTGCCCATCAGCCGATTCGATCACTGCCTCAGTAGCAGTCCCGCTGTCAGACAGTGTTGCCAGGTATACCATAATTATGGTATCGCTACCATAATTTTAGCCCTGATACCAGATACCATAGAAACGGATCATGGTATCCCAATTATACCATAATTTTGAAACCCAGCTGAATTTGATATTTTTTGTCGATTTTTTCAATATTTCCATATTAA